GTCACTTCAGCCCTCCTGGTTACCTAATAGTCTCCACATTTCAGCAAGATTACCCATCTCCTCAGGTGCTAGGGATTCCCTTTCTCTAGGCATGGTCTAGGGAGTTCAGGTGACGTAATTGTCAGGAGATGCAATACCAACCCAAAGGCACAAGGTTCAAATCTACCACATGCTTCGTGGGAGAAAGATGGGCAATCTCCTCATATGATTTACTGCAACTGAAAACCAGCTGGAACACCACAACAAGATAAAGGTAAATAATCCAATAGAAAAATGGGCACAGGATATGAACAGGCACTTCACCAAAGACGACATTCAGATGGCTAACAAGCACATGAAGAAATGCTCAAAATCCCTAGCCCTAAGAGAGATGCAGATTAAAACAACTATGAGATATCATTTCACCTCAGTCAAAATAGCAAAATTTAACAGAACAGCAAGCAACAAATGCTGGCGAGGTTGTGGAGAAACTGGAACCCTGATTCACTGTTGGTGGGAGTGTAAAATGGTGCAACCCCTGTGGAAAGCAGTATGGCGCTTTCTCAAAAAGTTGCAAATAGAGATACCATTTGACCCAGCAATTCCACTACTGGGAATATACCCTGAAGAGACCATAGCTGACATCCAAGCAGATATATGTACTCCCATGTTTATTGCAGCTTTGTTCACAATAGCAAGGAATTGGAAACAACCTAAGTGCCCATCAACAAACGAATGGCTAGAGAAGCTGTGGTATATTCGCACAATGGAATACTATGCTGCATTAAAAAACAAGGAACTCATGCAATATTATTCAAAATGGTTGACTCTGGAGAACATTATGCTGAGTGAAATATCCCAGTCACAAAGGGACAAATATTACATGATGCCACTGTTGTAGAATGGGACTGTCCTTGGGGTTGGGGAGAGACTGAGTAAGATGGGTTCAATAATGTATACTGCACTGAAACAGAGGAGAAAGAAAACTGTTTAAAAGAGATATATGACTAGGTATTTCTGTCATCACAGGAGTCTAGAGCGAGGGCTACATGGTGGAGGGGACCTGGGGGAGGGTTTGTAAAACAATGAAAGAATCTTTTCTTTTACTTTTCCATAATTTTTGACTCACGTACTTATAACCTGTTAGTCAAATTTGTGTCTTCTAGGTTGCAACACCCCCATGATACATCTTCAAGGATACGAACATGTACGGCCAAGCACAATCAAGAAGAGTGCATCTAAATTCCAAAATCAATCCCCATAATAGTCTATGTGTTTCCTACTGCCAAAGGGGCCCTTTAGAGTAGTGAGAGAAGATCTTCACCCTGAAACCCACAGCGTCCCTTTTCAGCAGGAAGTAGCTAAGAGAATACGCCATCCCCTTTTCCTTATGACTCAGGGTGAAGTCTCTCTCAGGGAGGAGTGATAGGGAATGGCAAAGGACACACTCACAAAGAAGATTAATCAGAACTGGCTTTGACAAGCACTGTGGCATTTGGACAAACTGGGAGGAGGGTAGAGAGAATAGTGCAACAATGAATGAATGGAAACCCAAAATCTCTGTAAATGTTTATGAAAATTAATAAAATATAATTATAGGGAAAAAAAAAAAAAGAAAACCAGCTGGAAGATCAGCTATGAGTTGGTCCTGATTCAAAAGCACATAACAAAAAGCATTGCCCCTCTACTCCTCAAAAATCACCTCACATGTCAATGCCTCTGCTTTTGGATTATTTACAAAAACAACGAAGAGGGACATAAAAGTCACACAGGTTTGCACCTTTAGGTGAGCCTAAAATTCTTTTCTTTTTCTTAGTGGATATATGAGGAACTCCTAGAAGTAGTAGTAAGAAGAGTGGTTAAGTGTCAGATGGTTCTATAGTTAGACTTTCTGAGTTCAAATCCCCTATCTCTTATAAACTTGTAACTTAGGCAAGTTAGTAAACTTCTATCATCCTCACTTGTACAAAAGGGGTAATAAATGCATGAGATTGTTGAGAGTCTATCATGAACAGCAAATTTGTACCTGCCCTGTGTCATCCTTATCATCTCCTGTACACATGCGCCCGTGCTGTGTTAATCCACCCTGTTGAGGGTCTATCCTCTCTTTCAATTACCCTCCACCTTAACAAGCATGATGGTTTTTCCAAGGACTGGTCCCTCCTTACAACAAGTCCAAAGGATGAGAGACAAAGTTTCACCACTCTTGCTTTAAAGGAGCACCCTGGTTGCTCTTTCTCTGAGACATATTTCTTCCTTTGACAGTCCCTGGACTATTCAGTACTTCTCTCCAACACAACTCAAAGGAATCAATTCTTCTTCTATTATCTTCACTCACTGTCCAACCTTCAGAAGCATAGCAAGTAAATGAGAAGACCATGGATCAGAGCAAGTTCACCTCCTTCTTTAAACTGACATTGATGTTCCTTAAAACTTTAGAGAAGTCCTTGATGGCATTTTCCCAATGGGATATCTTTTGACTGATTTCTTGACTGCTAGTACCAACAGCTGAATGTGGACCCAACTAAGATGAAACATGAACGATTTCAATAATTTTTCTATTTATCATGAAGTAGCCTATTAGCCCAATGGTAAAGATTTTTGTTTCCTTGATGTTAAGATGTAATTCATACTGAAAGATGTAGTCTTTGATCTTCTGCAGCAAGTGCTTCAAGTCTTCTTCACTTTCTGTGAATAAGGAAGCTGAGGCAGCATAATGCAAGTTGATGAGTCTTCCTCCAATTCTGATGCCACATTCTTCACAAAGCCCTGCTTCCCATGGAAGAATGATACAGCCCTGAGGTTATCCATTAAAAGGATTTATATTTGACAGCAGAAAAGGATACAAGACATTTTCAACGAAGGAAAATCAGGGAAAATTAGCATGTTCTTTCTAGGTAAAATCTGCAATGCAGGCACAAATAATAATTATGGTGAGTAACATTTGTTGAATATTATCAAGAGCAAGAGAAAGAACGAAAAGCTTTACATGATAGTAAATGACAAGTTCACGTAAAGCTCTCAGTTAATTTCCTTCCTCATAATACCCAACAAATGTTCCTTATCATAATTCTTATGAAATTCTAAGTCTTTCTAGATTTTTTTTTAATGTAGGAAAAAGGTTTTCCTTCATAGAAAGTGTCTTGTCTCCTATCCAGCTATCAAAGGTAAGTCTTTTTAATTTCACTTTCATGGAACATTTACAGATAAATACAGCCTAACCCAAATTCATTGCCATCGAGCCCAAACCGAGTCATAGCTGATCTTCCAGATGGTTTCCGAAGACTGTAATTTGGATGCTAGTGGAGGGAGGAGCACCACCAGAGAGCAGCAGCCTTCAGTTAGCAACACAAAACAACATCAGTAATCTATACTATTCCTGTTAATCTACTGTATCATTCTGAGAAGTCCAGTCTCATTCTATGTTACCAGGTATAAGCTATTTCAATATACATAATGAATTGACATAATATACTTAATTGAAGAGATTTAAAAACAAACCAAAAAACCACACACTAATTGAATCTTAGCTACTGATTCTATCACCAATCCTGCACCACATTATATAGATACTAAAAAACACACAAAAGCACCACATCAAGATAAACAACCCAATTGCAAAATGGGCACACGATATGAACGGGCACTTCACCAAAGAAGCCATTCAGATGCGAACAAACACATGAAGAAATGTTCAAAATCCCTAGCTCTAAGAGAGCTGAAAATCAGAACTATGAGATATCATCTCACCACAGTAACAATAGCAAAATTCAACAAAGCAGCAAACAACAAATGCTGGTGAGGTTGTGGAGAAACTGGAACCCTTATTCATTGTTGGTGGGAGTGTAAAATGGTGCAAACACTATATGTATGGCACTTTCTCAAAAAGTTGCAAATAGAAATACCATTTGACCCTGCAATTCCACTACTGGGAATATACCCTAAAGAAACCGAACTGCCACCCAAACAGATATATGCATACCCATGTTTATGCTGCTTTGTTCACAATAGGGAAGATGTGGAAACAATCCAAGTGCCCATCAACAAACGCATGGATAGAGAAACTCTGGTATATTCACACAATGAAATATTATGCAGCACTGAAAAAACAAGGAACTCACGAAATATACGAAATGGGTGACCCTGGAGGACATGATGCTGAGTGAAATATCTCAGTCACAAAAGGACAAATACTGCATGCCACTGTTATAAAACAGGACTGACATGGGGTTGGGAGGAAACTAAGAAAAGAGGGGATAAATAAAGTACACGGTATTGAAACAGACAAGGGAGAGAACTGTATAAAATATATGATTGGGTATTATTGACATGCCAAGGGTACAGAATAAGAACTGCACAGTAAAGTGGACTGGGGGGAACGACTGTATAACAAGAATTTTTTTTTCCCCCAAAGAGTAAAGCAAACTGACGGGGGAGGGGGAGCAGGGAGGAAAATGTGCAACAATGAATGAATGGAAATCCAAGTTCTCTATAGACTTTCATTAAAATCTCAATAAACACACACACACACACAAAGTCCAATGTAAAATTCTTTCCTACACGTGCTCCCTGTTGAGTGACCTCCAACCCTACGCACCCGCGATGTCGAACACGTGTCTACTTTAACATTATTTCAAAGACCCTCCAAGCTGTGAGATCTTGGCCCTTAAATAAGATTTTCTTCATTCTAAATTGGGCTGAGTCTCATATTCTCCACCAACAAGATTTCCTTTCAGAATGATCTCCCCCACATTTCCCCTCTTACGGGGATGGAGGAGAGAGCAGCCAGACACCTCCCCAGGGCTCGTATTCCTTAGATCGAGGGGAGTCAGGGCAAACTCATCTTCTCTAACTTTCTTCTCCTGAGTCTTTGCCAATCAGTTCGGGTGATGGTACACGAGCCCTCTCCCATCGCGCCTGCCCACATCTCGTCAAGCGCGGGAAATGAACATGGGGGATGACATCCCGAAACGAGAGATGACAGCGAGGGGCAGGAGCCTGGGGGCCAAGCGGGCGCTTACCTGCGAAGCGTATTTTCACGAGGTCTAGCGGGTGCAGCGCCAGGTTGGACAGCACCCCGCCGCTCACGCCGGCCACCAGGTTTTCGTATCGGACATGGCGGAAAACCGCGCTCCAAGCCGATGCCCCGGACGTAGACTGGCCCTGGCCCTGGCCCTGGCCCTGGCCTGTCATCGGATCTGGACCCGACGACACCACGGCGCCCAGGGCCGCGGAGGTGGGACGAGACGCCGTGGCCGCCACCGTGGCGACAGTAGCTGTCTAGACTAGAAACTAAGGAGCGCGCCCACTTCCGTGAGTGGCACGTGGACTCCCACTCCGGGGCGCGGGAGAGAAGCCGGGAGACTCTTATGCAAACATGATGTGAAAGCGGCGCGGAGGCACCTTACGCCCGAAGAGTAATGCAAGGGGAGGTGGACGCCAAGCTCCGCCTCGTCCCCGCCCGCGGCCGCACACTCAGGATAAAGGTTGTAGGTACCAGCAAACAGCCGCGGGCCCGCCCCCTGCGGAGCTCCGCCCATGAAACTACCGAGCGCCGCAGGAGCCAACTGAGCCGAGCTACTTCCGCTCTGGGAGGTCATGTGACAGGAAGTACTTCTGTAGAAGCAGAAGTCGCATGTGCGGGAGGCGGTGGTGGAAACAGAGGCATCCGGGAGGCGCAGGGATCGTGAAGTTGAGGCAAACTGGCCGCCAAGATGAAAGTGAAGATGCTGAGCCGCAATCCGGACAACTATGTCCGCGATACTAAATTGGACATACAGAGAGGTGAGACCTGTTGGTAGGGAGAAGAGACGCGTTCCGTGAATTTCCGGGTCTTTCCTTCCTTGGCTTTCTCGGGATACAGCTGGGACTAGGCTGCGAAAAAGATTTTAAGTAAGTCAGTGGCAGTGAGTGACCTTTCTAACTCTATTAAAGAAGTTCCACTAATGGTAACTTGGAAATAGTGAATTATATGGGGTGCGCATCAACCTCCTTTCAGCTTTCTGCCAATTGTTCTCAGGCTCTTGTTACTGTGGGGAATGAGCCACACTCATGAATAGACACACGTAAGAGTTAAACAGATTTCGCAAAACTTTCCTGTCGCTCTGACTTCTGACTTTACTAGTTTATAGATTTCTCCTGCCTGTAGAAAGGAACAACATGGAACCCAAAGCCGTCAGTTTTCTGTTAGCAGCAGCTCTAAGAAATATGATGGAATGGTTAAAGTGACAATTTTCTTTCTCTTTACTGACAAGTTTCTTATTAATATGCTCTTGAGTCCCAGATTGCAAGGGCCAAATTATGTGTTGACACACTGTTTTAAGTAAAGAGAAAAGCAAGTGCACAGGCCTCAAGGTAGGGATGAACTTGAGGCAGAGGGAACGATAATAGAGTTGAAATCTGAATCAGGGATAACCGATGGAAAGGGAGGCTGGAACGGTTATCATTATTTTAATTGAGTAGTTGTTTGTTGTGTACCCTCCAGTCGGAACCAGGCCGTAGCTGACCCTCTGGCGGTTTTTCAGACTCAGTTAATCGCTTTTCAGAGGCAGTTAATCACAAGGGAGGAGATTGAACATCCTTGCCCCTTGAAGCAGCTAATGGACTCGAACCGTTGTTGCAATATAGCTTCTTTCCACTAGGTCAGCTCTGCTGGTGTATAGACTGATACTGAGTTGTGCTGCTAACTCAAAAGCCACAGGCCTCCAGTGATTCTAATTCATCAGAAAGTCTCTTATTTTACCAGTTACTTACCACAAGTACCTTGTTGGCATTTCGGGGTGGCACGGATAAATAAATCCAGCTAAGTGAAAAATTAGAAACATGAACCCACTTAGAAGTGCAGTAGAAGACAGGTCTGGCAGTTTGCTATTAAATTGCCAGGCTTGAAAAATGGTATGATGTCCAGTTCTACGATCACATAGATATAGAGAGTGGGGCCATAAGCCAGAGATGACTGGTTGGCAGCTAACAACTTTCACCCTTGCCAATGAGTACATTTCAGGTATTCTATTTTAAACTTTCTCTGATACAAACCCTTGCCTATTTCAGCTCCTTTTTTTGAGAAACTTTGTTTCAATGATAATTGTTCAATACTTAATCCTACCGCTTACTGTATTTTGATACTCTTTAGTCATATGCTTATTTTTTATCAGCGTTTACCAGTGTCTGATGATTATTTTGATTATCAATCTCTCCCGGTAGACTGAACTTGCAAAGGGGAGAAGAAGTGTTTTTATTTCTACATCCACTGTATTTAGCTAGCACTTAGAACATAATACCAGTATTTTTTCACAAATAGCTTGTTCATGTAAATAATGTACAAATGCATGGTGCGCATAAGGAACTAACCTTATGTGGAAGCAGGTTGCATGGTTTAGGGAAAATCCCAAAACAGGAAATGTGATGATGTTGTTGTTGTTGTGTGCCGTCAAGTTGCTTGCGACTCATAGCGACCCTATGTACAAACGCCCTAAACCCTGCTCTGTCCTGTGCCAATCGTACCATCTCCAATACACCCATTCCAATTGCCCCAGTCACTGAATCAATCCACCTCACAGAAGGCCTTCCCCTCCTGCGCTACCCTCCACCCTACCAAGCATGATGTCCCTCTCCAAGGACCAGTCCCTCCTTACAGCATGTCCAAAGTATGTTAGATGGAGCCTCAGAATCCTTGCCTCCGAGGAGCCCGGTTTGACCCTTTCCAGGATGAATGTTTGTTTTCCTAGCAGTCCATGGTACCCTCAATATACTTCTCCAGCACCAACACATCAGTTCTCCTTCTATCCTCCTTGGTCATTGTCCAGCTCTCTGATGCATAACAAGTGATTGCAAAGACCATGGCCAGTATCAGACGCACCTTACTCTCCAGAGAGACACCATTGCTCTTCAGTACTTTGGAGAGGTCCCTAACAGCAACTTTCCCCATGGCAACACATCTTCTAATTTCCTGGCTACTGGTGCCGAGGGTTGTTGACCGTGGGGTCAAGCACACTAAAGCTGTGTACAATCTCAATCTCTTCACCATTCATCCTGATGCTGCCAGTTGGTCCAGTGGTGAGAATCTTTGTCTTCTTGACATTGAGCCTCAATCCATATTGGAGGCTCCAGTCCTTGACCCTCTGCAGCAAGCGTTTCAGGTCCTCCTCACTTTCCGCAAGCAGAGTTGTATCATCTGCACATTGCAGATTGTTGATAGATCTTCCACCGATCTTGACCCCACGTTCCTCCTCTTAGAGCCCAGCCTCCCAGATAATCTGTTCTGCGTTATTGGAGGCAAGGATTCTGGGGCTTCGTCTGACATACTTTAGACATGTTGTAAGGAGAGACAGGTCTTCAGAGAGGGACATCATGCTGGGTAGAGTAGAGGGGCAGCGCAGGAGGGGAAGACCCTCTATGAGGTGGATTGACTCAGTGACTGGGGTACTCGGGATGGGTGTGTCAGAGGCAATGAGATTGGCACAGGACAGAGCAGGGTTTAGGGCTGTTGTACATAGGGTTGCTATGAGTCGCAAACAACTTGACGGCACATAACAACAACAACAACATACAGGTTAAAAAGATATGGAGACAGGATACATCCCTGACGCACGACCTCAGTTAAATGAAAGGAAATGTGGTACTTGTGTTAGAAAGTGCAGTTTCTTATAAATACCTGAATGAAGAGGAGAATGAAGACGTAAGTGAGATGTTGAAGAAGGGAGTTTGACGTTTTTGCCAGTTGTGAGAAATTACTGAAGCGGTAGGTTAGTTATTGGAGAAGGAGCAGATACAGTTAAGTATAGTTTACTTATTTTTTATTTTATTTTAAAGGCATTTATATAATACTTGCCACTATTTACATTTTTTTTATATTTACATAATATTTGACACTGATATCCTCCTTTGGGCTGTGGGGGGAAATGTTAGTTGCAGTCATGTCTCAGCCACTAGTGGCCACACCATGTGTACACAGTAGAGCAGCCTCATGGGATTTTCAAGGCAATGACCTTTCAAGGGCAGACTGCCAAGCTCGTATTCTGAGTTGCCTCTGGCTTCAGTAGCTACACATGGCGCTGTGGCATCCTGAGGACAGGGTGGAGCAGTTGACAAAGGCATCTATCTTTGGAGTAGTGCAGCATAATAACATTTATTCTGGATTTGCATTATCTTAATAGAATCTTTATAATAATTTGAGAGGTAATAGAAAGGACCGTGGAAAATTTTTTTCCCCACCTGTGAAAAGTTCCTCAGTTACATATGTGATGGTCACATTCTTGGAAGAGTTGGCAGAAGTCAGGATGAATAATGTGTTTTTAGAATTTGTTGAACTTTTCTAGTGGTAAGGAAGTGCACGGCCAATCCAAACACAAGCAGTTTGAATCCACCAGTGGCTCACACAGGCGTTTTCCTCCTGTGTGATTTAAAGGCTCTGAAAACCCACTAGGGGTCAGCTACAAGTTGTTTCCAACTTCATGGTATGTAACAACAATAACATAAATACTAAGTAGGAGGTGGGTTTTTTGGTTGGTTTGTTTTTGTTTTTGTTTTTTTGTTTTTTATGTGCTATGAGATCACTTGATATTACCAAATTATATGTTGATGAGGAGGGACCTGCTTAAAAGCTCATTGCTAATGTTGTTAAGTACTGTTGCATCAGAACTGACTCCTAGCTGACCCTCCATCAAGTTTTCAGAGGCAATAAATCACACATGAGGAAAGTGCCCGTCTGTCTCCTATGGAGCAACTGGTGGATTTGAACCATGTATCTTTGGGTTAGCAGTGTAGCTCCTTACTACTAGGCCACCAAAACTCCCTTATTGCTAATATAGTTGTATACCTTTGAGTTGGAACTAACCCATAGCTGACCCTCCAGTGGATTTTCAGAGGTAGAAAATTGCTCAGGAGAAGATTACCTGTATTTCTCCTGAGGAGCAGTGGGTGAATTCAGACCACAAACTTTTGTGTTAGCAGTGCAATTTCTTACCATCACTAAGCCATCCGAGCCCCCTTTGTTACTAATAGGCACACAATTAAAACAGGAGATTACTGCTACAGGGAACATTAGAACTTCTTAATCATGAGAGTGACTTGATAATATCTGTGTTTCAGGATGATTAGTCTCTGACAGGGAGCTCTGGTTTGGCCTAGTGGTAAGAAATTGTGCTGTCAAAAGGAACACAATTCAAATTTGCCAACTGCTTCTTAAAACCCACAGGAGGTCAACTATGAGACAGTACACAGTAACAATCTGTGTAAATTGCTACCAAACACGGTAGGCATGGTATTACAGA